ATGGAAGTTTTAGTTTCACCTGGTTTTAATCTGTAAAAATTCCCTTTAACTAACCTTTTGTCAGCCGATTATTAATAATAATAAAAAAAAAAAAAAATTTTTTCTTTTTTTAATAGCCTCTACCCAAAACTCCTAAATGGAAGTTTTAGTTTCACCTGGTTTTAATCTGTAAAAATTCCCTTTAACTAACCTTTTGTCAGCCGATTATTAATTAAAAAAAATAAAAAGATTAATCAATTACCAGAATTAGCTGCAGTCCTAAAGTTAGCTTGGTTGCATTTTCTTATGGGATGCACAGATATAAATTTAGATCAATATTGACATTATGGCCAATATTAAAGTTTTCTCTGTGAAAAAAAAAAAAAATCACCCATGTTGGGGTGCTGACATTGCTTCGCTGCTGTAGTTTAACAGCCACATTTGTGCGCTGCATTACTATCAAGGCCACATGACGAACAGCTGGCAGCTAGATGGAAATAAACATAGCTTGTCAATATCGCCCCAGTTTTACTCATCGAACCAACGCAAATGTGTTTAAAAATGACCATCATTGGCCGATACTCATGTTAAAACTATATCATTGTATATTTTAAATTTTATTACTTTGTATTATTTAACTATATATAAGTAGTAATTATTTATATAAAAATTATTAAATATTATAATTATTATTAATTATTTATTATTAGCCAGTTCTTACATAAAATCACTTCTATGCTGTATTAGACAAAAATGTCACCAAGTGTACTACAGGCTGAATACTTGATAGTTGTATAATAAACTTAATAAATGAACATTTAATATAAATTCGCAATATTTATGCCTACCTAAAATAAATAATGAGTATATTAATATATTCTAAGACAGCATTTACTGTATTCAATCATGATTTCCCAGTTAGATGTTTGAAAAAGTATGACATTCGAGAGGAGGCTGTGTTTGTACAAATAGAGAAAACTAGATCTAAATGTTAGAAGTTATTTGTGGTGTCCCACAGGGTTCAGTATTGGGCCAAAGTACGATTTATTTTGTATATCCATTATACATATAAAGTAGGATTGATAAATTCATATTTATGGATGCCATCAGCTAACCTGACAACAGCCAGATGCATGTCTCGCTTTTGAAAATTTTATATTTTTATTGTTTGTTGTGAAACATGATTATTTTACAGCATTTTTCAAAGCCTAGGTTTCGTTGTTCTTTAAATAAAGTTCACTTTGCAGAGGGGATGATGGACATAAAAGCTAGTTTTTGACAGAAAAACCAAGAAAAAGCTTAAAAATTAAACAGAAAAAAAATCTTACAGCTTAGGAACATATATTGCATCATGGCTCAACTCATAATAATAATAATAATAATAACTGAACTTAATTGATCTCACATTGGAGAATTACCTCTATGTTTTTTTTAACTCTGTCACTTATCATTTTTATCCATGTTTTTACGGTCCACATTTGTGTGACCACTTTTGCAATAATTTTTGTTGCTGCTGTAACACCATAATCTTTCCATTGTGGGACAATAAAGGGATTTTCCATTCTATTTTCTATTCTAAAAAAGTGTTTTGCATGTCGATCTGTTTAATTCTCTCTTTCTTTTAATGAATAAAATACAATTTGATTAAACAGCTATTTAATTTCAATGCATTCAGGTTATGGAATCAAATAAGACAAAAAAAAAGAATACGATGTAAAAAAATATATTACTAAAATCAGCATGATGCACATTTTAGGTACTGTAGAAGTTCTTATACCACCTTGGTTCTATAAATGTAATAAAATCCTGTTCGTTGTTAATTAAATCAAACTAATCACCATAGTTCAGGTTTTCTACACCGTTCAGTGGTTTAAACTGGCTTTAAAAAGTTCCTATTATCACTAACCAGAGACAGAAATGTTAAAAGATATTAAACAAGAACTCTGAAAGCTGACAGAAGAACATCCACCTGATCTAAAGTTGCTTATAATGGTTTAATTTCCTCAGATCTTTAAAACATATATAATATCAATATAATTAAAAAGTAGAAGTCAACAAAAAAATAAAAATATTAAAATTGATATTATATAAAGCATGTTAAAATTTTTAAATCAAATGTTTAGTTCGATACGACAACTTCAGAATGTTGCAAACAATATTTAAAGTTTCTCAAAATAAGGTTTATTCTATTTTAATCTTTGTCATCAAGTTCTGTTAAATCTAACGTTTATTTATTTTTATGTTTATAAACATAATAGTTACCTTTAATAAACTCTGCCGCTTCCTTGGACTCGGCTTCTTCCGCCATCCCGAACAGGGCAGACGGTACCAGAGTGCTTCACACCCTTCACGGTCTTGGGTCAAGTCTTAAATCCCGCACTTGTTTGGGTCTCGTCAAAAGCTCCAGAAAGGGTTCCGTCTAACTCCTGGACAGCTTCAGAAACTTTTTAAACTGCTAGCAGCTCGTTAGCCCTTGTGTGGCTAAGAGCGGTTGGGACACAGACTAAAAAGTTGAAAAACTTCCTTCTCGGTTGCCCATCACTTATTGTAGCGTCTTCTTACTCGTTGCGGGTTTATTTCCATTGTTAGTTTTGTTTTGTTTCTCCTCCATTAATCAGATGAATGTTCGCGGGTTAGCATATTAGCTAGTTAGAGCTCCGAAAGCTTGAAGAGTCTGAAACTCTGATTGACTAAATCCCTCCTTAAGTCACGTTACCATAACAACGATAGCAGCTCTAAGGGAACCCGTAGCCAATCAGTGAACAGAACACTTTGTGCCGCGTTCAGGGTCCATTGGGAAACGAATGAACGAGTCAACGAATGAAAAATAGGAATCCCTAAACTAAAAGATTTTAAAGCAAATGAAACCAGTTTTATTAAAATATACTTTTTTTTTTAACAACAAACTAATGAGTTCATTTATTTGTACAGTTCTGAACTGAAGCTTTTAAGTATACCATATGTAGGCCTATAGAGTGCCAGTGTTTGTTGCCCATTGTAGGACAATAAAGGGATTTTGCTGATGAAGGTTCTCAGTCATCCAGGTCATAGTCATTCCGTAAAAATTTAAATCCGCAGTGAGTTTGAACTCACCGCGGATCCAGAAATTTGAATTGAGACGTCTTCAAATCTTGGAAACCAAGTCCAGTGGATATTTTTTTGAATTTTTACGGAATAAAGGGATTTTTCATTCTATTCTATGTTATAAACCACTAGCTCTGTTGGAATTTATCACTAAAGAGAAAAAAAAATAAACTTCAAACACTATATCTATAATTAAAATACTACTTAAAACTCCAAGCATTCCAGCAATTTTCAGCATAACAAAGTGTCATTTCATAAAGGGAAATCTCAGATTATATCCACTAAAGGTTATTTTTTCACTACTTTATCAAAGTATAGATAACTTGCAAACACTATAATTTTAAGGAATTTAGGTCCATTTTAAGGATTAGGGCAGCAGCTTACCCCGTAGCAAATAAAAACCCAAAATTCAACTCTCAGGAAAATTAAAACATTGTATCCAACCCACAAAAATTGATTCTTAAAAGCCTAAATGGTATGCTTTCATAGTGAAGACAACTGATTTAACATTTTTCCAACAGACAGCTAAAACTCCCAAAACGTAGCACAAGTAATAAAAGCTGGCTTTTGACATGGGGCTGTACACAAACATATAAATGAAAAGTAGCAGGGATAACCACAGGTTGTAGGAACTATGAAGCAAAGAATGCAGCTAAAGTCAGAGCTTTAAAACCCAAACCATTTAGATATATCCATATAGGTCACAATTGTCACCTTAACAGTGTTTAGCTACTTCTATGACAGCACCAATAACATAATTCATTGGCTAAAGGGAGAAAAGAAGCAGAAAATGCAGCTTGAAGATCCAGTCCTTTTTACATAGATNATTAATCAATTACCAGAATTAGCTGCAGTCCTAAAGTTAGCTTGGTTGCATTTTCTTATGGGATGCACAGATATAAATTTAGATCAATATTGACATTATGGCCAATATTAAAGTTTTCTCTGTGAAAAAAAAAAAAAATCACCCATGTTGGGGTGCTGACATTGCTTCGCTGCTGTAGTTTAACAGCCACATTTGTGCGCTGCATTACTATCAAGGCCACATGACGAACAGCTGGCAGCTAGATGGAAATAAACATAGCTTGTCAATATCGCCCCAGTTTTACTCATCGAACCAACGCAAATGTGTTTAAAAATGACCATCATTGGCCGATACTCATGTTAAAACTATATCATTGTATATTTTAAATTTTATTACTTTGTATTATTTAACTATATATAAGTAGTAATTATTTATATAAAAATTATTAAATATTATAATTATTATTAATTATTTATTATTAGCCAGTTCTTACATAAAATCACTTCTATGCTGTATTAGACAAAAATGTCACCAAGTGTACTACAGGCTGAATACTTGATAGTTGTATAATAAACTTAATAAATGAACATTTAATATAAATTCGCAATATTTATGCCTACCTAAAATAAATAATGAGTATATTAATATATTCTAAGACAGCATTTACTGTATTCAATCATGATTTCCCAGTTAGATGTTTGAAAAAGTATGACATTCGAGAGGAGGCTGTGTTTGTACAAATAGAGAAAACTAGATCTAAATGTTAGAAGTTATTTGTGGTGTCCCACAGGGTTCAGTATTAGGCCAAAATACGATTTATTTTGTATATCCATTATATACATATAAAGTAGGATTGATAAATTCATATTTATGGATGCCATCAGCTGCTTGCTTTGAAAATGTTATATTTTTATTGTTTGTAGTGAAACATGATTATTTTACAGCATTTTTCAAAGCTTTAAATAAAGTTCACTTTGCAGAGGGGATGATGGACATAAAAGCTAGTTTTTGACAGAAAAACCAAGAAAAAGCTTAAAAATTAAACAGAAAAAAAAATTTTACAGCTTAGGAACATATATTGCATCATGGCTCAACTCATAATAATAATAATAATAATAACTGAACTTAATTGATCTCACATTGGAGAATTACCTCTATGTTTTTTTTAACTCTGTCACTTATGATTTTTATCCACGTTTTTAAGGTCCACATTTGTGTGACCACTTTTGCAATAATTTTTGTTGCTGCTGTAACACCATAATCTTTCCATTGTGGGACAATAAAGGGATTTTCCATTCTATTTTCTATTCTAAAAAAGTGTTTTGCATGTCGATCTGTTTAATTCTCTCTTTCTTTTAATGAATAAAATACAATTTGATTAAACAGCTATTTAATTTCAATGCATTCAGGTTATGGAATCAAATAAGACAAAAAAAAAGAATACGATGTAAAAAAATATATTACTAAAATCAGCATGATGCACATTTTAGGTACTGTAGAAGTTCTTATACCACCTTGGTTCTATAAATGTAATAAAATCCTGTTCGTTGTTAATTAAATCAAACTAATCACCATAGTTCAGGTTTTCTACACCGTTCAGTGGTTTAAACTGGCTTTAAAAAGTTCCTATTATCACTAACCAGAGACAGAAATGTTAAAAGATATTAAACAAGAACTCTGAAAGCTGACAGAAGAACATCCACCTGATCTAAAGTTGCTTATAATGGTTTAATTTCCTCAGATCTTTAAAACATATATAATATCAATATAATTAAAAAGTAGAAGTCAACAAAAAAATAAAAATATTAAAATTGATATTATATAAAGCATGTTAAAATTTTTAAATCAAATGTTTAGTTCGATACGACAACTTCAGAATGTTGCAAACAATATTTAAAGTTTCTCAAAATAAGGTTTATTCTATTTTAATCTTTGTCATCAAGTTCTGTTAAATCTAACGTTTATTTATTTTTATGTTTATAAACATAATAGTTACCTTTAATAAACTCTGCCGCTTCCTTGGACTCGGCTTCTTCCGCCATCCCGAACAGGGCAGACGGTACCAGAGTGCTTCACACCCTTCACGGTCTTGGGTCAAGTCTTAAATCCCGCACTTGTTTGGGTCTCGTCAAAAGCTCCAGAAAGGGTTCCGTCTAACTCCTGGACAGCTTCAGAAACTTTTTAAACTGCTAGCAGCTCGTTAGCCCTTGCGTGGCTAAGAGCGGTTGGGACACAGACTAAAAAGTTGAAAAACTTCCTTCTCGGTTGCCCATCACTTATTGTAGCGTCTTCTTACTCGTTGCGGGTTTATTTCCATTGTTAGTTTTGTTTTGTTTCTCCTCCATTAATCAGATGAATGTTCGCGGGTTAGCATATTAGCTAGTTAGAGCTCCGAAAGCTTGAAGAGTCTGAAACTCTGATTGACTAAATCCCTCCTTAAGTCACGTTACCATAACAACGATAGCAGCTCTAAGGGAACCCGTAGCCAATCAGTGAACAGAACACTTTGTGCCGCGTTCAGGGTCCATTGGGAAACGAATGAACGAGTCAACGAATGAAAAATAGGAATCCCTAAACTAAAAGATTTTAAAGCAAATGAAACCAGTTTTATTAAAATATACTTTTTTTTTTAACAACAAACTAATGAGTTCATTTATTTGTACAGTTCTGAACTGAAGCTTTTAAGTATACCATATGTAGGCCTATAGAGTGCCAGTGTTTGTTGCCCATTGTAGGACAATAAAGGGATTTTGCTGATGAAGGTTCTCAGTCATCCAGGTCATAGTCATTCCGTAAAAATTTAAATCCGCAGTGAGTTTGAACTCACCGCGGATCCAGAAATTTGAATTGAGACGTCTTCAAATCTTGGAAACCAAGTCCAGTGGATATTTTTTTGAATTTTTACGGAATAAAGGGATTTTTCATTCTATTCTATGTTATAAACCACTAGCTCTGTTGGAATTTATCACTAAAGAGAAAAAAAAATAAACTTCAAACACTATATCTATAATTAAAATACTACTTAAAACTCCAAGCATTCCAGCAATTTTCAGCATAACAAAGTGTCATTTCATAAAGGGAAATCTCAGATTATATCTACAAAAGGTTATTTTTTCACTACTTTATCAAAGTATAGATAACTTGCAAACACTATAATTTTAAGGAATTTAGGTCCATTTTAAGGATTAGGGCAGCAGCTTACCCCGTAGCAAATAAAAACCCAAAATTCAACTCTCAGGAAAATTAAAACATTGTATCCAACCCACAAAAATTGATTCTTAAAAGCCTAAATGGTATGCTTTCATAGTGAAGACAACTGATTTAACATTTTTCCAACAGACAGCTAAAACTCCCAAAACGTAGCACAAGTAATAAAAGCTGGCTTTTGACATGGGGCTGTACACAAACATATAAATGAAAAGTAGCAGGGATAACCACAGGTTGTAGGAACTATGAAGCAAAGAATGCAGCTAAAGTCAGAGCTTTAAAACCCAAACCATTTAGATATATCCATATAGGTCACAATTGTCACCTTAACAGTGTTTAGCTACTTCTATGACAGCACCAATAACATAATTCATTGGCTAAAGGGAGAAAAGAAGCAGAAAATGCAGCTTGAAGATCCAGTCCTTTTTACATAGATTAAAAACAAACACAAAAAAAAACACATACACTTATGTATACTGCAGTTTAATTTAAAATTTTACATTTCATTCGGAAATCAAGAGTCCAAGGTAATTGGTTCTGGAACCTATTCAGGGTGTACTCTGCCTCACACCCATAGACAGCTGGAGATAGGCACCAGCATCCCTCACGACCCTGCTTGGGATAAGCGTGATGGAAAATGGATGGACTTGGTTCTGGCCCATGCTGCCAAAGGTCCGTATCTAATCCTGGTCCAATTACTGTGGTGGGACTGTATTGATTAGCCAGAAAACTGGCCTGACCTGAACCCAATAGAGAAATTATAAAGTATTGTTCAACGGAAGATGGTAGACACCAGGTACAGCAACGCAGACAACCTGAAGGGAGCTAACAGAGAAACCTGCGCTTCCACTGGACCTCATACAGTAATTCATGCAAAAGGAAATCCAACCAAGCATTGAGTGACATCAAGATTTTCATTTGGTCCAAATTTCTAAATTAAAATAAATCTTTTACTGTTTTACAAAATAATTCAACTTAGCTGCAAGTAACCATCAACAAAACAACAAAACTGTAATTAGATGACTTATTTTACTAATTCAATGGTATTACTGATAAAGATGCATTTTTTAACAATATTTAATAATAAACTGCACGTGAAGCTTTAAGGACCAAATTATTCCATAAAATATCCATATGCTTCTTAAACTGGACTAAAAATAAAGCATGAATGGTCTGAGTATATGTTCCTTCCATATGATTTAAAAATAGAATTGTGATTTTTGATCCAAATAATTTTTATGTAGGTCATGATTTCAAAACATATTTGATTTAAATGTTTGAAATGTATCTGCAATAAAGCTATAAAAGATCTTTTCATCTATCTCCATCGAAAGCTACTTTATTTGAATGTGTGCAGCTTCTGCTGTTCGGTAATAGCAGTCCTTCAGCTCAGATGGTTTTCACAGGGACATCGAGAGGAGCTGAAGGATATTGCACAAATCATAAGAGCCGAGATGTTCAGACTGCTCCAGCATTCATCTTCTTGATAAAAAAAAAAAATGTCATTTTGGAGAAAAAAAAAACCCCAAACATGTTTGATAGAAATTAAATAGATTTGATTATGAAATTAAAAACTTGCTGATGTTGACAGAAACAAAATCTCTGATTTGCATGTTTTAATGTTTCAACATCCACAAAGGTTTGCAGTTATCAGCAAGGGGGGAAAAAAATAGGACTTGCCAGCAATCAGTGAAATCCAGACACAGTATGGTGCCGGTGCTAAACCAGGAGCTGGTCCAGGTCCTGCCGTAGGCTGGGGAATCCGGGGTTCATCATAGTGCCTCCTCCAGGGCCACGTCTCCGCCATGCTACAAGACAGCAAGTGAACTGCGAGGACACTGAGCGCGGCAGGCGTCAGGTGACCCGGATCGGGTTACAGACGGTTCCGGAGGGGACAGAGGTGTGAGCTTACAGCATCCTCAGGTTTCGACACACATTCTGGTCAAAGCATGGCTCCAAGCAGCTCACCTGCAGCAGGTGGGTCAAGGAGCTCAGAGTCAACACGACACCACACTGCTGACGCCACGGAAACAAGGCGGGGCGACGCAGGAAGTACTGGTCCTGGTCCAACATCTGCAGTCTGGAAAAGGTCCCCTTTTTGTTTGGTTTTTCTACCCCCATATTGAGCAGACTACAATGCTCAGCTGTACAAGAATTGGACATATCCAAAAACATACCTTAAACAAATAACTGCCAAAAAAACAGATTTAAGGCAAATCTAATCAGAGCTTTATTTAAATTACCAAAAAGCCCAAAAAAAAAAAAAAACATCCTTAGTTTGTTTGAAAGATTTTATTTATCTTATTACAGCATTTTAAGGAAACACAAAATAAACCCTGAGCAATAGAAACTAAGAGGGTCAGCCATGACAGGAGCAGCTACGAGTCCAGAAGAGTGCGTGTGTTTTCAGTGTGTGTGTGTGTGTGTGTGTGTGTGGCTACAGGTGAGGGTTAACCACCCCTGATCCTTGACACTCAATGATGTAGGTCACATTGCTGCTCAGCTCGTCTTCACTCTTCGTTATCGTGAACTTTGCCTAAAAATAATAGAAAACAAAAGATTTGAATGAGAAAAGTTCCAGTTTAAAGCCTAAATATGCTGATTTTTTAAATGACTAATAATACAGAAGCTCAAGGCAACAGCAAGCAGAGACATTTAGCGATTTGAACACAGGGTGAGTTTACTGCTTCACATGAGTTGAACATTAAAATAGAAGAAAAATAAAAGCAGAATAAAACAAAAGATTTAAAAAAAATTATAAAACAAAAAAAAATGTTGGGACACAAACTTAAAGTTATTGACTCTACTAATTCTAAATCATTAACTTTGACGGCTTCTTACCTGAGTGAGCTGCTCTGCGATGTGGATGGCCGTCTGCGTGTGTAGTGTTACTGCTCCAGTCCGGATCCGGGACGTCCCCTTCGCCAGCGCCATGAAGATGATGAGCTGAGGAGGAGGAAGACTCGGTGAGGACTCAGGCGGTAGAAATCACCACTGGAACGTCATCACAGGGTGCGTTAGTGTCTCACCTGGTCCTGCAGGAACTCGTCCACACAGCCGTTGTGTCTGATGTTTCTCAGTAACATCTCAGCAGCTTCAATACCGATTTTATCAGCGTAAACACCTGAAAGGGATAGAAGAGAGGGTTATGTGCTCTTCAACCACAGCTCATTGGGTTGTGTTGGTCCATTGAGTACTGTGAGGTGAAAAAATTAAAATCTTCAGAAGGTAGTTTTGATTCCTCTCTAATTATGTCAGATCTCTTAAATGGATCAGATCCGGTTGCTTCGCCCTAAATTTCCACCGTCTCCCCGAGAAATTCTTGATGTTTTACAGAAGAAGCTTCTCTGCTCTCCTTCTGGTCAGAATGTGAGGTCAGAATGGGCATGCAGCCCATCAGACATTCTGTCCTTCTGGTCAGAATGTCTGATGGTCTGCATGGTTTTCTTTGAGGGTAACCATTGCTTATATTAAGATTTCGCTATATTAGCTCGTCTGCTGGATCAACCAGTCTGCTAGTTAGAATGAGGGACCATCTCAGACTCCACTGTGCTGAAGCTACACGCCTGTCCGGAGATAAAGTTAGCAAATATTTGTTTTCCCCAAGTTAGCTTTCTACACCAAGAAAGCAGCGTTGTTTTCTTCAACTATGCTAATGAGAAAGTCTTTTCCTTGACAAAGCTTTTTTCATGACAAAGTGCACTCCATGTAAAGATACAGAACAGACAGGAAAAATAATTCTAAAGCAGACTAAAACTTCTGCATATGAAATTAATTTACGACTATAACTAATAAGCACTAAGACTAAAACTTTAAAAGGCTGCCGTAAGCAACAGGAGAGTGTTTTGCATCTAATCTGCAGTGACCTGAAAACAATGTGACTCAGAGGGGTGCTGCCACCTGCTGGTTAGCTGACATCCTCACCTTTCTTCCCCAGAGCCGAGCCCGCAAACAGACACCCTGTAGACGATTCTGCAATGATTCTGAAACACAAAGATTACTAATCAGCAGCAGCTAGACAGATATCGCAGACAGACCGTTTGGTGGCATCTGTAGATAGGAGGGGCTTACATAATGCCATTCCCGTTCCCGTAGGCCTTGTCCTTCTCCTGAACCGGCTGGATGTTGATGTAAAGTTCTTTGATTTCCTTTCTAATGGTCCGAACGGCTGCAGCCGACATGTCTTTGGCCAACTGGGAAAAAGTAATATAAAGCTTGCTCAAAGACAACTTAGGAAAAAAGTGTTTAAACTTTAAATTTTTTTAAAGAAAAAATGTCGCTTAGTCAAAATATATATTTTTGACAAAGATACAAGAAAATAAAACAGATTTTAGAATGCAACAGAATGCTTTTGTGAGCAAGTTTTACTTTGTAGGGCAGGACTCCGGCCACGAACGCTCTGCCGTGGATCTTTGTGATGTTTCCTCTGTCTGTCATGGTGACGGGCTGCAGCTCTTTGACCGGATTCACTGTCACCATCACCTCCCCTCCACCTTTAGGGTAGTAACCCCTGTAGCACAACCAGAACCATAAGATCCCACTCTAAACAGTGGCATAGGCACAGAGATGTCAGTGAACAAACCTCATTTTGATGTCACAGTCAAAGCGGACTCCAAACTTCTCTACGATGGGTTTAAATACCTGAGGGAGAAATCTAGATGTTAGAGGATGTTTTTGCCATATCACATTCTTTATTTGTTTCACAAGGAGCAGATTAAAGGGATAAATCAAATTCTTATTGAATCTGGTCAGGACATTGTTCCCATCCACAACAGTAAAAATTGCGTCCTTTTTCAAAAAGAAACAAAGGGTATTCCAGCTATAACAGGTGCAGCCATGTTTGTTTTGCTTCAGCTTTCCGCCTCTGGTTGATGCATTGACGTCATAAATGTCAGTGCATTTCATTGGTCCAAAACATTTCCTTAATGACGCTAATGCATCTGTTGACTTCTGTCAAGAATTTGCGAATTCACATGAAAATTCTTTTTTATAACCACAAAAATAGAACTCGAAGACAGAATAAATGCTCTGTTCAAGATGGACAAAATCATCATTTCCAGGGTCTCCCCAAAACCTTACAGAAGAAGCTTCTCTTCTCTAGCCATAATCAAGCAGCAGAAACTCTAACCTTTTTTCCACCAGTGAATATCAAGTTTAAACACTCCAAAAAGCTTTCTTATCTAGAGGTCCCAAAAGGTAACTAGGTTAATTCATGCTGCAGAAAAATAAAAAACACTGTCTGAATCCTTAGCTGGAACCAAACTGGAGCTCCTGCATCTCTTCATGATAAAAGTCTGCCTCG